ACTGCAGTCTTCACTTGTAACAGTTTATGGGGCAACAATGATCACGGAGACGACATCTGTACGTACAACAGCAAAGTCAAATATTCACATCTTATGGAGGTAGCACAGTTCTGGTAAGCCGGCATGGACAACATTGTAAGCACACAGATATATGGCCAGTGTTCAACTGGAGAGTAGCAACATAAATTGTCTTACACACATGACAACTGTTAAAAGGAACACACACAATATATAACTAAGTTCTGTGTGTAAGGTGTGTAGTCACGAAAACAAAAATAAAATATGTCAATATACACATAATGAACCATTTGAGCACATAATCCTGACATTTCTACAAGTGTATATCTCTAGAAACTACAAATTCATTGTCTGTATAAGCTTGATGGGGAAACTATCTCGGGCTAACAAAAGGATGTTTAATTCTTTCAGCCCCAGGGTGTTTAGCATCAGCGACCCAAAGGCTAGTAAAGAGAGAGGTGAAATCGATACATCCTGCATTCACTAAGCTTCTAGGTGAGAATTTATGAACGTGTATTGCATTCCTTGGGACAGAAAGAGATAAAAATATGTTACGATATGAACTGGAATGCTAAAGAAAGAGACAGAGCACTTACAGAAACATCCTGTGTGCTATGATGTCAGTTGTTCACTAAATGTCTAATCAAATCCTAAAAGATGAATGGATCAAACTATTGGTGACAGCAGCTAACACAGGGAAGTATTCACTGAATAGAAAAGCATACATATGTGAAGCTCAACAACAAACTGGAACAAAGAAACCTTACCTACACATGTGATTGTAGGTTGCTGTGAAGATAACAGCCATGAATATGTGTGTAATCTTCAATGTTACAGTGTTCAGTAATGGCCTTCTTCTTCATGTTCACTGGCTGTAAACTCTGGCAGAAAGTTCTGGGTGTCCGTCCACCTCCAGACTTTAGTCTTGTTCCAAAAACCTGAGTGCTGTGTGCAATTCCGTTTTACAAATCTGACTCTTGGTTCCTTACCTCTCAGGCAAATGCCCACAATTAGTCAACTCCTAGGGCATGCATGTTGGGGAGGCCCCAGAACACCCATGGGGTTGATCAGTAGTGACTGCAGCTACATCAGGTAAATGTACATGCCAGTATTTTAGATGGACAGTGGGTGTATATTACTGCCTGTAAAGCAAACTGTTTTTGTGGCTCATAATAAATATAATCATCAATGTTACACTGCTGAATATAGGAACAAACGTTCCAGGGGAACACAAAGTTATGATCATAAGGTGCCCTAAAGTTCTTGAGCTGTTTGACTTGTCATGTATCGTTTCATACTTTAATTCTTAAAGATGACACCGAGTACTGATATGAAATGCCTTTATCATACAGAAAGTGAGCTCCTTATAAGTTCAAATAAAGATCAAAGCAATGTTTCTTCACTGTGAATTTGAACAAATAAGACATGAACAAAAGACTGCAATAAGGATTCATTTATTGTCTTCATATTAATCAATGGTTCCTGTAGTATGCACACCAGAGATACAGCAAAATACATAAACAGACCCTTTTCTATGCCTGTATGTGTACTGGACATATTCGACCAGACCTGTATGTTATAGAGTAATTGGCAGTTGGTGGAGGATATAGTCAGCATCACGCCGGCCACTTTGACTTTCTAGCACTGTACCTGGTACCTATTTAAGGCTGGGTCCACCTGGAAGCCAAGGTCACTTTAAAACAAAAGTCAGGTTCCGCCAGAACCTGAACCTACAACCTTCTAATCAGCAGGTGAGAGTCTGGCCGTTACACCACAGCAGAACATGGCAGGCAATCAACTGTGCAATCTCTGGTCTGTCTTCTTTGTTCACATTCAACTCAAGATCTCAGGGGATGCCTACACTTCTCTATTGCCACTGGCTAACATGAATTTGACAAATCAAAACCTGCAGCTGTAATAGTTGTATATCCTGTACATTTAGCACGTTAACAAGCAGTCCTCTGCATGCACACCTGTGGCCCTCCATTTTTATTAAATGACTTCAATTAGTTTGTCGTATGTGGCTCCAATGTTAACACAAAAGGGACCTATCTGGCCCCCAGGGAACCCTTAATTTCACATGCCTGCTTTACAAGACTTTGCAAGTTAACCTCATCATTAGTTGACTGCAGTTTAGCTAAATCATTTTACGTTTAGTAGTTTGCTACTGCTTTCTAAATGACATACATACATACTAGTGTTGAAATCAATATAAATTGAACTGCTGCAAATAAGTAAACCAAGCTTCCAATGGTTCAGACATGGGTCAAGACTGCCACAAGACCATGCAGCATAGACAGCTCTGCCCTCTAGGACACAATTGAAGCAGAGCTGAAAGTGGCCTGTACAAGCAACGGATAGATGGAATATCTGAGGTCATAAACACTAGTATCTACATTGCACACACCATGCAGTGAATGAGACGGCTCTACAAAACCTGACGCTGAAAGGCAAAACATGGGCTAGAGTAGGGCCCTTAAACCTTTTTAAACCCACAGACAAGCACAACAGGGGAAATTGTTTTAGAGACCACAGGACAGCCAACAAAAACGCTTATACTTTACACGCCAAACTGACATGCGCAACTCCTACTGTAACTAGGCTATGCAGCAATGTAGTGTTGGAATTATGTAACTGCTATATGATCAGACAGCCTCCCCCTCCCCGGACCACAAGTCGAAGAACACTGGTGTAGAGAACAGAAAAAGTAAATGGTATTAACCCATAAACTTGGAACACCGTGCAGTATACAAGCTGTTGTTTGGCAAGTAACATCCTGTAGTCAAAACGACTACAACAAAAATTGTTGGCAATAATTATAAAACCACAACTGTTAGCAAGTAGGCTAACAATTACGCCACTGCAGCTCATAGTTGCCCAGAGCAGTCTCAAATACATGACTTAAATTACACCTGTACGTGTGTATGTATGTAAGTATATATGAATGTAATAATAAGAAAAAAAAAAAACTACATATCCACATAACCAGATGCCAGTATTTAGTATATAACATGTATGAAAACAGTTGCAAATATTTCTAAGAGAGTACACACTTGACTTGAGAACCGCTTCCACCAGCTAAAGAACATTAGACCTGCTGAAGTATCTACCTAACACTCTAATAATGCCACATTAATCATCTTCAAATCCCCAATTCATTTACAATCAAACGTGACACTGATATCTGACCTTTGGATTCAGACTTACATGCCACACATGCACTGATCAAGTGAAGCTCAACAACCTCTGTCCCAGACAACTGTTTCCTGGAAACACTTATCTTTCCTATGTAACAATTCCTGTCCCAGACAACTGTTTCCTGGATACACTTATCTTTCCTATGTAACAATTCCTGTCCCAGACAACTGTTTCCTGGATACACTTATCTTTCCTATGTAACAATTCCTGTCCAGACAACTATTATATAAATTTCCTGTACCCTTTGCAAGTAACAATTCTTCACCAGACCCACTAATATATACATTCACTGTAACTTTTGAACGAAACAATTCCTGTCCAGACAGTATGTACATGAACCCAGTGCCTCACTTATCATTCTAACAACTCACGTCCCAGTCGTTCATAAATCCACTGAGAGTTATCATTCCAACAGCACCCGCTCGAGATAGTGTTTACTTTACCCTCTGGGCGGATGGATGTGTGTGGGTGGGGCAGCTTGTCAACTTTAACAGGGATTACTGTTTTCTAAAAACAAACTCTCTCCTATTAATTCAATACTGCTCTCATGATGTTTTTATATACCCAGTAATTCGTCTTATAACTGACCCAGCAATTGGCCTTATAACTAACCCAGCAATTGGACTTATAACTGACCCAGCAATTGGCCTTATAACTGACCCAGCAATTGGCCTAAGAACTGACCCAGCAATTGGCCTTAGAACTGACCCAGTAATTGGCCTTATAACTGTCCCAGCAATTGGCCTTATAGCTGACCCAGTAATTTCACATTCTCTGTAATTAGTCAATCATTTTACCTTCTTTTAATCATTCAGCCCGCAATCAGACCATTTCATTTATCAGCATTTTTACTGATTGAGAAGTTACCAACCAAGTTCTCTCCTACATGGGTGCTAAGAATTTTACATGGGCAAATGATCTCCTGGGTAATAAAATCTAATATCTGCCCTTTAAGGGTGAAACCAGAATGTCCCATGTGCCAGTTGCGCAAGGTGAAATGGATAAAAAACTAAAAAAAAAAAAAAAAAAAAATTTTTACCTTTTAAGAAACCAGTGAGTCATTATTTAAAAAAAAAAATTTATGGGACAAAGTAAAGTAAACTATGTTAGCAACATTATTTCTGCATTAACTAGTATAAGATTATGGAAATTAAAAATCAACAGAAAGGGAAAACTGAGCAGGAAAAAACACACCATCATTTACAAGATTATTTGTATCATCTAATGCCACAGTCAATTCGCCTCAATCCCAGCACACATTTACATAAGGGAACAAATTAGCATATACATTCTGAGATAAAACTTATGACGCTCATTCACAAGAGAAAGAAATTAGCATGTAATGTTGAGATAAAACCAATTTAGCAGAGAAAATACACAGCATTGTTACTTGAACCATTGTTACATACCAAACTATTTGACTCATATAGCATCTGCTTGAAGAAGATGGAAATGAATGTGAATGGCAAAATTTACACACAAAGAGAAGGATCTTCTGCTTCTGTCTCTCAACGTTCAAAGGTCAAGCATGTCCTGCACAATTACATCACAATCAAAATAGTATATTCCCTCAAAACACAAGCAAACCAATTCTGAAGGGATTAACACCAACGTTGTGAAATAATGTTGCTGTCAGATAAGCTCACTCAAACACGTAAAACATTTTGTGTGTGGAAAGTTCAGTTCATGAATGCTTGCATGTGATTGGATAAATTGGAAGTAGAATCACCATTCCCTGCAAGCAGTTGATGTTATAGACATCGACGCAGACGGTTTCTGGAAGATCAGCCCCTGCCTGCTGTTGGGGTAGCAGCTGCTGTTGTACACTGAGCTACCTGCGCGGCCTTTTGTTTCAGCATGGTCCAGTCGAAGGTATAGTCATATTGGTAGTTGAGGGTTCGAAAGAGAATTCGGAAAAGCTGGCGTAGATACATATAATCTGGAGCTTCTTCAAAGCGGAGGCCGCGGCAGTAGTTCAAATACATGGCAAATTCAGCTGGAAAACCTTTGCACAGAACCTCTACTGGCGTTGACATTTTCTTTTCACTGATTTTCTCATACTTCTGCTTTTTGGTGTTCGCTTTCAGGCCCTGCCATGGGAGACTTCCACGGTTGAAATACATGAGTACATATCCAAGAGACTCCATGTCATCTCTTCGGCTCTGCTCAATACCCAGGTGAGCATTGATACTGGCATATCGGGCAGTACCAGTCAAGTTTTTATCTTCACGATATGGGATGTGTGTTCGGGTTCTGCTGTCTCTATACTTCTTGGCCAGACCAAAATCGATCAAAAACACCTTGTTGCAGTGTCTTCCGATACCCATGAGGAAATTGTCAGGCTTGATATCTCTGTGTATGAAGTTCTTGTTGTGGACATACTCGATACGTCCGATCATTTGATCTGCAAGCATGAGCACCGTTTTCATCGTAAATCTTCTAGAGCAGAAGTTGAACAAGTCTTCTAGACTTGGCCCTAGAAGATCCATAACAAGAACATTGTATTCTTTCTCTTGACCATAGTAACGGATATGAGGAATACCCACACCGCCTTGTAGAATCTTGTACAGTTTACTTTCATACAACAACTGTGGGTGTCGCGCCTTGCAAGACTCCAGTTTCACAGCCACTTCTTCACCATTTGTAATGTTGATCCCGAGATAAATATCACCGAAAGATCCGCTGCCTATTTTACGTACCAACCTGTACTTCAAACCAACTATGAACTCCCCAGTCTGCTTCCCCGCTCGCTCTTGTGGCTGCTCCATGGTGACAAGGTATTACTAGTTGAATGGTTTCAGCGCCACAGACAAAAACCTCCGATTGTCAACTGACTTGAGACTTACAAACGGGGACTGGTGGCCATCTTGGGTGTAGCAGCAAAAGTCGGTGGTATCCCAGAGTTCCCGGCCCATGTCGTCATCCCAAAAGGCGCATGCGCGGGGACCACCAAACAAAACAATGGCGGTCACGTACGAACGGCGAAGTCTCTATTTCAACCACTTCATTTATTAATTCCGAATGTGTCCTTGCGTAAGACAGCTGAGATTTCAGCCAAGACTATTTACCTAGTGGCAGATAAATAAAATCAGCAGGTTTGCATGTAAAGGGAGAGAGGATGAACTAAAAGAAAACACAAAATACGGGTGTTTTTTTTATTGTTTTTAATTTTGCAGCTGATTTAAGGGAGGCAATAATCATAACAAAGGTTTCCTTCTGAGTTCTTTATTGTTGGTTGAATTCACATTAACTTAAAAAAAAAATAAACAACACACATTGCTGAAATCTTTACTCCACCCCAGCCAGCTGTTACTACATTCATTAGCTACTTCAGTCAAATTTTTAAAATGCCCTCTACACCAATAAAATCAGCACAGTTAGATAGCTGTAAACAATCTCTTTCCAATGGTACCTCATTTAGGCTTGTATGTCATTTCTGAGCTGAGATATGTAGGTTTTTGTGGAGATGAGATGTAAGAAACAGCCGCTAAAACTTGTGACCCAGAAACAAGAAGTTTTTTACTGCGCAACCTACTGCGCAGTTCTGTATCGGCTTTGTTGACTGTCATTGGACAAGATGGCAGGCAGTGAGACTCAGCTCACTCAGCCGCATGCGATTGCCTAAAAATGTCACTGTAAATCTAAACAGCCAGAGTCGGAAAACAAAATTTAATATGCAAATGTAAAATTGGACGGAGAATTCAATTGTAACTAGCATTACCACAACTGGTAATGTTTAAGCCTAAAGCCAACCTCGAATTTACCGCTATTTTCAATCAAACTGATAGACTAACAGAAAAACAGAGAATGTCCGGCTGTCGTAGACATGCGCTGTTAATCGGGTTCCTTCCCGCCGTTTTCAGCTATTTAGAGTGGGTGAAAATCACACCAATGGCAAAATTTCCACAAAAACCTACATATCTCAGTTCAGAAATGACATACAAGCCTAAATGAGGTACCATTGGAAAGAGATTGTTTACAGCTATCTAACTGTGCTGGTTTTATTGGTGTAGAGGGCATTTAAAAAATGTTACTGAAGTAGCTAGTTGAGAACAACTGGTGGTAATGCAATTTCACAAGCGTAACACTTACTACGAATTCGGCTGCTATGCAACATACACATATTATACATCAAAGTGACCAGGGATTGTTGGGGAAAAATAGTAGATTACTGTTACAACAAATAATTACGCTAGTAGTTCAATATTTGTTAATAAACATACAGTATATTTACAGAAATTTGTAAAATAAAATAATAAGTTTTCTACTTATCACCATGGCGCTCATGGAAAACTCATTCAAATATATGCAAAATGAACATAAACCACTTAGTAATATATAAATAAAATATAAACTCAGTCTGTACATTAGATCTTGTTCCAAAGAATCTATTGAGCATTATAAACAGACGCTGTTATTTGATAAAGAGAAAGTACTTCCCAAAACAGTATCTTCACACCACACAAAGTTTAGGCTCTTCTCTGAATTATGGGTCTGAGTGATCGCGTGTATAAATATACACTATCGGATCTCAATAGATTTGCTCCTGTTTAAGTTGTATCCTTAACCCTTCAATTATTTAAGGGTTAGGGTAAGGGCCCATTATTTGGAGAAGAGCCCAAAGTTTTTATAACACTCAGCGTTTACCTGTAATTTTATAGCCATGTTCCTAAATAATAAGGAGAATAGCACTAGAACTGACACTGAAGAAAATTGCCAGCTGACTTTGCTATCATTGTACCCTTCACCTGAAGTACACTTTAGAGCTATCCCAAAGTTTGACGCAACGTTATCTATCCTAACTTTGGATTAACCTAATAAACACGCACTTTGTTTAAATTTCAGGCTTCTAAAGCCATAAATCATGTTGGAATGTGTGAAAAATGCTGCTCTGTGGCCATATTGTTTTCAAACAAACACTTAGTAACTTTCACAAATATACTATATTTTAGGCTTTAAATCCCGTTTCCAAATAAGTCTGATGGTCAGCTGGGTTGTAACCAATTAGCGTGTGATGTTTTCTTTAGGACTGAAAGAGTTAACCATACCCAAACATTTTTCTTAAGTATTTACTTACTTTGGTATTAACTCTTTCAGTCCCACGAGGTTTATCATCACAGGCCCAGGGGGTAGTAAAGAAAGTTATAAAATCGGCGCATCATGCGTTCATTGGGCTTCTAGGTAGGAACCTATGAACGTATAATGCGTTCCTTGGGACTCAAAGAATTAATTAGGGGTGTTTCCTCCAAAGCCGGAGTGCATCTGCCTGAGAGCCGAGGAACCAACATTACTAGTCTACAACAATGAATCACTATTGTTGCATTTCTTGGTGTGGGCAGAACATGTGCTCATCATCCATACTGTGTGGTCATCATGTCCATCAACAGTTGTTTGTCTCATGTATCTGTAGATTTTTTAAATAAAGATCTTCTTCAATGACAAACTGTCTAACATATCTCTTGGTTACCCCTGCCACACTTCCACTCTAACTTTGCTGCTGACACCATAGACCATTTTTATTCTCCCTCTTTCAACATTGTCCCTGAATAATGTGGACTGTCTACTGTCAGTGCTGACTGCTCCAAAAAGTGTTGGCTAGTGAATACCAAACATAGACATCGGATTCTCAGCAAGCACTGAGAGACTCATCATCAAGTGCCTTGCTGACGGATGTGGGCTATCATGCCTCTACAAACTGCAGTCTTCAACAACATGTATCAGTTTGTGTTGTCACCTCTGCATGTTATGCTAAAAGACTGTCATGAATCGTCTACCCCTGTCTCTTTTTCCACAGATCTTTCCAGTGGTCACAACATCTTCCATTTTCCTTCTTCTCATAACCTGATCACAGAATGACAATTGTCTCTTTCTGATGTTTGTGATATGTTGTTCTCAAACTCTCACCTGTTTCACAACATCTAGGTTGCTCTTTTTTTGTGTGTGTGCTGTCCAAGGAATTGTAAAGATTCTTCAGTGAAACCACATCTCCAAGGAATTGTAAAGATTCTTCAGTGAAACCACATCTCCAAGGAATTCTAAAGATTCTTCAGTGAAACCACATCTCCAAGGAATTGTAAAGATTCTTCAGTGAAACCACATCTCCAAGGAATTCTAAAGATTCTTCAGTGAAACCACATCTCCAAGGAATTGTAAAGATTCTTCAGTAAAACCACATCTCCAAGGAATTGTAAAGATTCTTCAGTGAAACCACATCTCCAAGGCCTCCACAAATTGTTTGGCTTGTTTATTTACAAAGGCAAACTACTAAATGTAAAATTGTCCAGTAAAACCATGAACAGCTAACACAGGCTGGGCTTGTTGTGTAACATTGTGTAAACTAGTGCGGACCAACATCTGACCACGGAGTCCTAGCAAGTGCCCCGCAGGTCATTGCTATTTCTCTTGTATTCATGATCTTTTTATGCAGGAGCTCGGCCTGTATCCCAGTTGTCAACAGTTTGGCCCCTGAGTAAACTTAGTTGAAAAGCCCTGTTGTAATGGATATGCAGCTGATTTTATAAGCGTCCAAGAAACAGATGAAACTGAATGTTTGTGAGAAATTTGATACAGATTTTCCCCACATGCTGTGATGAGAAATAAATTGGAAGTCTTAAGCGTCTGGATAAGTTAAACAAAGACTCTATGGGATATGTATTGTTAAACCAGTAATTCAGAGACAAAGGGTGAATGTAACATCTGGAGTGGTCAGGGTGAATGTAACATCTGGAGTGGTCAGGGTGAATGTAACATCTGGAGTGGTCAGGGTGAATGTAACATCTGGAGTGGTCAGGGTGAATGTAACATCTGGAGTGGTCAGGGTGAATGTAACATCTGGAGTGGTCAGGGTGAATGTAACATCTGGAGTGGTCAGGGTGAATGTAACATCTGGAGTGGTCAGGGTGAATGTAACATCTGGAGTGGTCAGGGTGAATGTAACATCTGGAGTGGTCAGGGTGAATGTAACATCTGGAGTGGTCAGGGTGAAGAGGCTTGATCAAGTAACTAGTGCAACAGAGCATCCATATCTGGAGAGAAGCTGGTAGTGAGTGGAGGCTCTAGATGATTTCCTATCCACAGGGTTGTGAAGGGGGGCGGGGGGAGAGGAATCTTTGATTCAGGCCGCAGCTGGCACCATTAGTATGTGAGATCTTAGGGGGGGGGGGGGGGAGCAGCAGTGCAGTGTTGTTGGATCCATAGATTGAATCCTGTAACTAGTTCCTGAGGTTGAAGAAGCAGAGAAGATTGTAGTATCTGACATCTGATGCACACAGAGCAGTGCAGTGTTGTTGGATCCATAGATTGAATCCTGTAACTAGTTGCTGAGGTTGAAGAAGCAGAGAAGATTGTAGTATCTGACATCTGATGCACACAGAGCAGTGCAGTGTTGTTGGATCCATAGATTGAATGCTGTAACTAGTTGCTGAGGTTGAAGAAGCAGAGAAGATTGTAGTATCTGACATCTGATGCACACAGAGCAGTGCAGTGTTGTTGGATCCATAGATTGAATGCTGTAACTAGTTGCTGAGGTTGAAGAAGCAGAGAAGATTGTAGTATCTGACATCTGATGCACACAGAGCAGTGCAGTGTTGTTGGATCCATAGATTGAATGCTGTAACTAGTTGCTGAGGTTGAAGAAGCAGAGAAGATTGTAGTATCTGACATCTGATGCACACAGAGCAGTGCAGTGTTGTTGGATCCATAGATTGAATGCTGTAACTAGTTGCTGAGGTTGAAGAAGCAGAGAAGATTGTAGTATCTGACATCTGAT